CACATACTCAGATGCTAAATCCATTTTGTGATTGATAAATACGTCTTTACAGCTCCAGATGGTGTATTTTCCTATCATTCCATAGCTGCTGCTGAGGATCTCTTTGCTGAAGCTTTCAAGAAAAATGACCTATCAGGAATCCAGGATTTGTGCGATATATTAATTGACTTAGGCTTTCTCCACAGTTCTTCGACTTATTTGCGTGCTGCTGTTAAATCTCATTTGCAAAGGTCCGCTTTTCCAAAAAACTTCTGATTTTTATGCAGTTGCCTTTTTAAATTGTAATTTATTTGCAGCAGTGGTTTTGATACAGCTCTCAACATATGGTATAAAAATGCTCAGAAGTATCGTATTGGTGCGGGTAGTGATCTTCTCATAAGGCACACTATTTTGGAAAAAAATCCAAACGACGTATTTCAAAAGAAAAGACTTCGTCAGCTCAACTTTTATATTGATTTGTACTTGAGTTTTCATTAGTGCTTGACATGAAATATAAGTATAAAGTACCGTGTCTTATTTAGCATTACAATACGTTCCTCTAGCAGTAAGAAATTTTTTAAATGCTCGTGGATAAATTACTATAGGAAGTCAATTTTAATAAATTGTGAGCGCCTATTCTTGTGGAAGTGTTACAATAAGGGAGAAAATAAAACCGCGCTGACTAACATAAACACATTTTCATGTATTATGTAATCTTTAATTATATAGTCAGAATCTTTTATTTAACTTTTCTGACTTCTATGCTTTGTGAAGATAATTTTAGAAAATATTTTGGGAAAACTCGATGAGTTTGGCGCATTTTATGATGGTCTTGCTGAACTTGTTATAGAGCTATTAAAAGCAGATATGGCTTGGGAGGCAGAGCTGATATTCAAAAAGGTTATCATTTACATCTGAAGCATTTTAAGTTTGTTTTATTTTCAATTTGGTTTTCGATTGATTTTTTCGATTAATATTAATATATTTTTTCAGGTGAAAATATTTGGACGTCATTTCAGAGAACCACTCTTCCGTATGCAAAGTGATCTGGTATATTCCTTCGTTGAAATTTCAGAAATTTATTTTCATTTAAATTTTATAATGAATACTAATTGCTTTGGTCGTTTTGATTTGCTAATTGCAGCTGTACTACTGAAACTTTCAGAACAATTTACCTTGTGTTGAACACTTTGCTACTATTCTGCTGACTGCTTTACTGGAAGAAAACAGAAAAAACACTGGAAAATATTCGCGACGAAAATTGTTATCAGAAGAGGGGTTAATGAATGATTTTCAAGTAAGTTTGAATTTGAAAATCAATTTAATATAAATCGCAGATTGCTTCTGTCTTACTTTTTTGCTGCTTTATAATTTTTAAGTGAAGTTCCAGAAAAAATTTTCAGGAGTCAAGTCACAAAAGTTATATCAGGGCACTAATATCGATTTGGCAGCCGCGTTATAACCGAAGACAGAAAGTAGAAATGAAGAAGTTCAAGACTAATGTTGACCAACTCCGGGGACTCATATATGTGACCCAAAATGTTTGGTTTGAGCTAGCAAGTATGTTTATGCTTTATGCTTCACTGCGGAAAATGCGTTGGATGATGTCGCTACATCGAAGCATTACATATTTTGATTAAAGTTGAGGTTTATTCAACGAAAACGAATATTGCGAATATTTTTTAAACTAGCTTTTTTGATGTTAAAAGGGTTTGATTTTTCAGTGAAATCCATACACAAGTTTTCCAATCTTCAAAGAAACTGCAGATTTTATGATGTTTTGCTTATTTTTCTCAGGTGGTGCCAACAACATCGAGTCATTGGAACGTTTACGGGCATGGATTACAAAATACAATGGTAACGAATCCGACAGTGTGAAAAATAGACTGGAAGATTTCTTCAGTAAAAGCGATTTCAATTCCGAATAATAATGGATGTACGGGAATCATTGTTAGAGAATCGCTAATGTAATTTTTCATTTCAACTTTTGATATTCTTGAAATATGTGATTTTGGAGATGCGGTAACATTTAAAAAATAAATTATTTTTGATGCCAACTTTAAACGTTCTTCCTAAATTTCTTATACCTTTAATTTTGATACTTAAAAAACATTCTTAGGGATTGCTTCAATTTTGGTATTTTTGCCTTTTTCTAATTGTTGTTTCTGAAAGTGCTCAAGTTTCCTATTACAGCAACCTTATTTTGCTACTTCTTAAACAGACATACAAAAAATTGTTAGCATAGTTTTTGCTGTGATTTTCTTGTTTTCAGTCATTTCTTCAGACTTATAGGCCTTTGTTATTTCGTTCGATAAATAATGAGTAAATAATGAGTTTCATCTACACATTTTACTATTCCCAATATGTTGGATGACTGTATAAATTCTCTTATAACAGTTTCCTGATGGTTATTCGACAAAACAAATTGAGACAGCAGAAGCAAAAGCTGCTTGAAGCTTTGTTGGCAGACTTTTTTTTGTTTGCCTTAGAGCAGAAGAATGTATGTAAGATAACATTGCTATCTTGCCTAGAATGCAAACTTATCTTTGTTAAGTGAAGAAATATGATAGTTTGTCGGACTAATGGAGAAAGCGATTAGTTGTTTAAGCCAGATACCAAAGAAATCCAGAAGAAACTTGCACTTTTCCAGAAAGCTAGATACCAAGAGTGCATTACTGGATTCTTTGGAAGTTAAAGGCACGAATTCCGAACTTTTCGCTTTCATGAATATGTCACGGTATTTGGTGTTTGCCGGACCTTTATGCTTGATATTTTACAAATAATTCGATATCTTGAAAAAAATTTCGGGAATCATCGCTGTTTCATCATAATGGTTTATGATTTTTAAGTATTGCTATTACTAAGGCTTTAACGAGTCATTTAAAAGCTGTTACTCTTAATCTGCGTTTTCAGCATTCAATTATAAGATTAATTGAATCTGTTAGAAATAGGTATTGCCTATGAAAGGAATAGAAATTTTTATAAAGATCATTAATTGAAGCCAAGATGAAGTTTTATTGAAAATAATTTCTGGGAAGAAGAAAAGATTTAATGAAAAATTTCGATCATTTTTGGTATAATGGGTATTTTTGAAGTTAATTCATTGTTGATTGGTAAACATTAGGGGTTGGTCGATTTGAAAACAAATACTTCCTAAAAATATTTTTTATTTCTTTTGTCATATATTATTGCTATTGTTGGTGGTGGTAATACACAACTTTCTTGAAAGAGGAAAGATTATTTGTTATCAGTTGAAGAGTAAAATGTCCAGCAAGCAGTATAAAAATTTTTCACCACAAGCTGTCGATCTGCTCATCCACGTGATAAATATGACATTGAACAAAGCTGAACAGGTTCCTTAGCATTTCCTCATTTACATTTTTGTAATTCATTAAATTAAAAATCACATATGGTCAAAATTCAGGTTTAGCTTACTTTGATTATAGAGCTTAGTAATGTTCATTATCATTTATTAATTAGGCTTATATTTTCCTTCCAATCAAATCAATACATTTATTCTTTTGCTATGCATCGGACATGTAAAGCAATTTTTTTTTCGAATAATTTAGCACTATCCATTCAAATTATTCAGTGTAAAGTTTAAGGGATAAGTGGGCATTATGGATAGCTAAAGTTAATTGTTGATCCATAAATTAGAATGTTGTTTATCAGTCGACTATCAACCGATTTGGCCTAGAATTTATTATGTGATATGCTATTTCCTTGTTATCGTTTTCGAAATTTCTAAAATTATAGTCGAAAAAAAGAGCACAAAATGGAGGCAAAAAGTCATTATTTATAAACTTCAAAATTAGTTGAAGTGTCCAATTGTTTCTGATTAATAAATCAGTGAGTCAATAATTTGATAATAGCTCATTGATGTTCTGATTTATTTCAGTTATCTCGACGCAATCAACTACCGACTGAAAATCCAAAAACATACGAGAGTTTCGAAGTGATGGATGCTAATAAGTCATTATCTGAAAGTAAGGCTGAAAACGCAATTTCAGCAATTGAATAGTAGATTTCAATTAAGATTTCGTTAACCAAACAATGTAATTAGCTGCTATACAACTCACATTTAGATGCATCGGTTTTAAAGTCTAAATTTCCAAGAATCAATTCCTCAGTGAATGAAGCACAGGTGAACACTATTTGATTTTAATGGTGATTTTTAATGCACACTTGAATTTCGTTTTGTATTTGCTGATTTTTGATTCTAATTCTTCGAAATAGCAAAGAAAACTTGTTTTTCTTTTCCTCACAACAGTTTATAAAAAAATGAAATATGCTAGTTGTAATTTTTTACAATCAATTAAATTATCTGACACTAATTACTTCCAGTAAAACTGAACCAGTAAAATCAAATCAATTCAAAATCCCGTTTCAGATTTTTTTTTATTGCAATGTGAAGGATTGTTCAGAAGTTGAAATCAAAATTATTCAACATTACATATCCTCATTGTGCTAGTGCGCTAATTTCTAAACTAATGACAATCATGAGAGGAAGAAGCGCTTTTCCACTTGCTCTCTACTGAAAGCAACGTTTAATTAATTGATTATTAATTGTTCAATTAATTGAGAGATAAAAAAATCGAGCAACAACATTTCTTTCATCTATTCTGTGTTCAAGAAAAGTTTCAGCCAGTTGTTGAGCATAGCGTTGGTGTGGATGTGCTTTCCACAGATATCACAGCTGGAGGAGAGGACAGAATTTGCTACGAACCTATCGTCAGTATTATTGAATTTTAAGACTGTGGAAATTTCAACTTATTTTCAAATTTAAACTTTAGAAATTTCGTTTTAAAACTTGCTTTGTAACGGAGTGTTTATATTTTAATAGAAATCAGTTTAAAGTTATCCTTCTAATTTAGAAGGATAACTTCAAATTTATGATATATATGAAAACTTAAAAATGAATAGCAATTATTATAAATTCTTAATTAAATATGTATATGTTATCATTTTTATTTTTAAGGTGCTATTTTCATTGCAATATCAAAATTTAGAAAGTTGAAATTTTGAAAGAATGTCCAAGTGCCACATTTACCTATATGATGAGAGCGCGAAAGAATGCCAAAGATATTTATATTCCTACAAAGGTTAGTTTAATTTTAAAATAAAGAAAAAGAAAAAAAATTTGCTCGATATAACTTATCATGATTGGCCGTAGCTTACTTTTTCTAAAAAATTCGTTGCTTCCAAATGAAGGATAACACGAATTACAGATCGTTGTAACTCATTTACATCAACCAGGTATTGATATTAGTTTTCATATGGACACAAAGCTCTATCCTGAACTTCCATCACTCCATCTTCACATCTTTTGTCCTAATTATGTGCCAAAACAAGTATGGATCAATGGAAAAGAATACATTCATGATGATTGCTATCACTGCCATACATACAGAGAAACTTAAGAGTCTCAGATAAAATCGTTAACAATTAAAAATAAACGATTATTTCTGATTTGATCTTTTATAAGAAGTTTTTTCAATGTTTTGATAACTATAAACAAATGAATGACATATTTGTTCATTATTTGTCCACTTGTAAAATAGCCGAGAAATGAGAATTTAATGGAGCAAGAAATATTCGAAGACAAATCATAATTTCCATTACATTCCGATTTGCTGTTTTATTTGAGATGAATTGCTTAACGACTGAGAGGACTAGAAGGATTTTGAATTTTTCTTTCACTCTTGAAATTATATGTTTTTTCGAATTGAAACCTGAAAAAAAAGAGAAATAAAATTGATCTATTTCAGACTGAAAAAGCAATTAAATTTTTTAATAAAAAAAGAAATGATGAATGAACAAACTTTCCCAAATAATATACGCTTGAAGGCACGTCGAAATTCCACGTTGAAAATAGTATAAATGATTGGATTGATGCATGAATTAATGTAGCCAAGCCATGTTGTATAGAAAAAAGCATAGAAATCAACTTGACAACTCTTAATATCTATCTGAATACATACTGCACTAAGGATATACACCGAAAAAAATGGTACCCAACAAGCTAGAAATATCCCTGAAATTATTATAAATCAATACTTCCATTTAAAGAATTATTCTAATATAAGAGAATTAGGAAAACTGAAAAAGAAGACATGATGAGAAGATGTATAAAACTATTCAGAATTTGTTTGTTGATGAAGAAATTTGATTACTGTTTTTGGAATTACTTTCACATCAAAATATTATAACTTGATCATTCCATCTCTTTCAAAATTAAATTATAAAATTTGTTCTCCATTATTTGGGTTTCTAGTGCATTACTCTCGATTTTGTCAAGCTGATAGAAGGCAAACGAAGCTAATGAGAAGCTTGTTTTAAATAAAATATGCAGTGTTCAATTTTTTAAATTTAGTTTTTATAATAAATTTTTTGAAAAAAACGCTTTTTTAATGACAAAAAAGAACGCTGATTTTCTATTATGAGAGCTACTGATACAAGTTGAGAGGCAGATTTTGATTTTAAATGAAATTTTTTCTGGAGTGTTTCAGATCGCCTAACAGTATTTGTATATTTACGCTATAATTATATCATTAAAATTAACTGTCTCATTCTTAATTACTATGTGTCAAAATTTAAAAAATTCATGATATGCAAAATAAAAGTACCATACCAACAACAATACCGAGCGTCTTTGTAGCGCGCTTCTCCATTCGTTGAGTTCTGCCGCAATGTCTTCCGGATAAGCTGTTACCACGATTTAATGGTCTTCTGAATACTGCGGAGTTCCGCTCCCTTGAGAAGCTATTACTACAAATAAATGATCCTCAATAAATGATCTAAGGAAGAAATAATCATCAGAAGTGATAAAAATAATATTCATCGCCTTCTATTATCTTAATCTTTGGATTTTGAACTTTCGATAAAATTTAAAGGTACTATTAATGTTAAATAATAGAGAAAAAAGAAGTTATCAATGGAAGATACTAACTTAAAATCACTTGAAATTAAGCGTGGAAGTTTCCTCGATAAAATGCACCATTCTTTCCAGCTTTTGCTAATTGTTTTACCAAGATTATCAGAATCCTTTCCAATATTTTCCGTTTCATGCCATTCAATCTTTTCAACTTAAAAATAATTTCAAACATTGGAAAATTCTATTATTTATCTGACACAATTTTACAAATTCAAAGATTTTTAAATTTCATGAAACTATTAAATTTTGAATTCGAAAAAATCACTTGAAACAACAACTACCTCGCTTTGAGTCCATTTGTCCACCACATTGCTTTATTTTAAAATCATTTTCTTTGGATGTCAATTCACTATCTAAAAGTTTCTGAGCAACAAATTTAGCGCCATGTTTCAACTGCTCCTGCAAAATAAGCTTTGTTTAGAGTGCCATAAAATTTTAAGCATTTTGATTTGAAGGAAATTAAATTTCATAATTATCAGACTTACCTTTTCTTTTTCTTGCTCAACAGATTCAACTGCATTAGCATTGAAGAGATGCTCTTCGTTGTCATTTGTTTCCTCTTTTTCTTCCTGAAATAATTTTAACAGCATGAAATAATCCCAAGAAATCATTCATTCTCTCCCTTATGGAGGAGCATAATTTACTGCTGAAATTATGCAAATCTTATCTGATCAAATATTTATCAGATGGAGAGTGGTAAATTTTACTTGAAGTGTAAGTTCGTCTCTATCGATTACTGATTCTCTATCATGAGGAATATCTTGTTCGGTTCCTGCAAATTTTTATTTTTATTTACTTTTTAATAGATTAGTTGCTTAACTAGTAGGTGAAATATGAAATTCATTATTGAAAAATAAAATATGAAAAGTTTAAAATAACGAAAATAAATTTTGTCAACGAATGATTTTATTCATTGTTGGATGAAATAAACAACGAATTTATGATAATATAAGAAATCAAAACTTCAAGCGAATTGATTAAAAAATCACCAGAATTGTTCATGTTTTGTATTTCGCAAAATTTATAAACCTCTAATTGCGGAACAAATATCACTGAATTTTCATTACTTTTAGAATCTTTCCGTAAAAACCTGTAAATTAATTTCTTACTTATAATTAATTAATTGCAAATGATTTCTCAATATCTCATTCGATAATTTTACTAACTAATTTTCATTTAGATAATTTTAATGAAAAAAATTGAGATTCTTTTTTTCGAGGCACCGATTATAGCCTAATACTATAGCTTGATAATAATGCATTACGCTTGTAATTCAATTACATTTTATCGCCAGCATTTTATCCAGTTTGTCAGCACTAATTTTATTAGCAATTACTTCCAATAATCCTCTCGACAGCAACATTTTCATCATATGGGACACAAACTCATTTTATTTTTACAAAATTCAATTTCATTTTTTTAATATTTTGCTTTCTATGAAGTTGAAACTATGATTATCGATCTAACAATTTTCCATTTCCCTCCACTATCTATCTCAAATCTTAATAATTTTCAAAATTTTATTAAAATTTTTATTATCAACCACCATTTCAGTTGTCAGTAGGACAAGAATGCAATACATTTTCAAGTCTCAATTCTTGCCAGTATAATTGAAGCCTCAGTAATATCTCTAATTCTTCTTGACGTAATTTTATCCCTCAGTTAATGTCTCAACTTAATTATCAGCAATCTCTTATCCTTTTCAAAATAACTTCCATTATCTTTGAAATTTTGGTTTTTTATAATTTCTCATCAAAATTATTTAATTTTAAATTCTTAATCTTCAAACAATTTTAGCAGTAAAGAATGTTTTGATCTTATTTTTTGCTAATACAAAGTGAATTACAACTGGAAAATAAGCCTACCGACTTAAAGTAAGCTGTCTGCAAGGACAAGGCATACCATTACAATCCAATCTTTCTAGCATTCGCACGAGAAATTCTGCAATGAACGATTTTCTTGCTGTATATAAGTCAAAATTAAGTTGATTCTAGTTCTTTGGGACTTACAATATTGAATTTAGCCAAGCTACTAAATTATACTTTTTTCTTCTTTTCGTTTAACTTAAAGAAACAGTTACTTTGATTTGCATTTATTAAACAACATTTAAAACATCCGGTAAGCATAAAACTTAAATTCGAAATCATTCTGAACAGAGTAATGATAAACACTCTATACTATTATAAACTAATTCCATAAACTGGAACTAAGTTTATCCATATGTTTTGAGTCACACTTTCATAAAACTATCAAATGTGATTAGTTAACCTTTATTAGAAATCACTTCATCTGAAATATCACTATCATCCACTTTAATCATATCAGCGCCATCATTCACAGTTCTATTCATATATACACCGCAACTGTCATATTGCCTTCGTATTCCACTTTTAGAATTTTTTTTACCAATTTTACGAGAATAAAGTGCAGTTATATTTGAAACCATAGCAAGTGTATCACTAAAATTTATTATAATAAATTTTGAAATAATTAAATTAATCCAAATAAACGAAGATAGCAATTACCCGCTGGCACTGAAAATAGGAAAGATATTTGTAAATGACAATCTGCGCATTCACATGTTTATTGTTTACAACCTAATGTTTGATAATTTTTTAAAATATTGCAAGGATTATGATGAGTAATTGATGAGATGTAATTTAAATATATTAAATGGAAAAGATCTGATAAAAGAAGTTCACTTACAAAAGTTTTATTATTCATTGTAGCTTTTACCAATTTTTCGAAGCAGAATGAATTAGCGTCTAATCATTTTAATTTCAATTACATTCATTAATTCCTCTGATTTTATCTCTTAGAAATTAAATGAAAAATATTGAAATACAGATATTTCAAATAACAACCAGAAAAACATACTTCAACTTTTTCTTTTTTTCTTTGCCCATATTTAATTCGTTTGCATCACAATCGATTGTTAGCTCCGGTCTTGACATTTCTGCTGTTTCTATAAGAAAATATATGTATGATATGAAATTTGAATCACTTTTTTCACACAATTATAGTTTTCAATCAATAGTGATTAAAATTTTTGAGTGTTTGAGTGTAAAAAATATTAACTTATTTCTGTTTACATCAACTGATTCATTATTTTTTCTTTCATATTCTTTCTCACTTCATAGACATCATTTTTTCCATTGAAAATTTAAACCTAACAAAATAAAATTGAAATATGAGATTTTTGAAAATGAGCTTAATTTGCAAATGAAAGTATATCAACATTTTAAAACACCAAAAAAATATTGGTGATTTCGGAGATTTTTATTTAAAATTCACTAAATTTTCCATTTAAAAGTGTCCTGTTGTGCAAAATAAAAAAATTATGCGTCAATAAATTTTACTTATCAAGAATAAGCAGGAAGAAAAGTGAATTTTTTCATTTATATGATTTAATAAAATTTAAAATTTTAAAAAATCATTAGAAATAAATTGTTTTAAATGAGATAAATCATACGGAATGAATAAAAAAAATTATATGCACATTCGATATATGTGCCCGAAAATTTTTCATAGCTTTAATACTATGTCCCATTTTTCAAACTATAATAGCATCCTGTTCGCAATCCTATTTCTATTTTATTTCTCTTTAATGGTAGCATTTGTGATCAGGAATGTATGATAGGACGAAACGTTCATTCCCTCAACAATCTTTCTTGTCATATTTTCATCTGTTTTTTTTCAAAATCATTATTATAATGACAAAAAAAGGCAATGAAATAATAGTTCAAAACTTGTAAAGCTTTTTTATCATTGGTTTATTCATTTTAATGGATATGCTTCCTTTCAGATATGTGATTATTAAAGTTAATTTTGGCATATTAGTACTGGGTTAACTGATGTTGCAAGCATTATTCACAGAATTCATTACAATTTATCCAAAAATAGACTATTTTTAAGAGCTTAACCGTTTTGGGAATTAAAAAATGCCGCAATTATAAAAATGAAGTAATCTGGGAGTAAGGGAAGCAAAGGGACAAGAAAAAATTGTGACATTTCCGCAAAAATTAGAGATTTCCTTGAATGTAATGCCTTTTTGTAATGCCTGAATGTAATGCAAGAAGTGATGCCTTTTTTTAAAATTAAGTTTCAAACTGACGGTAATTTATCAGAAAAACTGGAAAAGAACACGTGCAATTAATTTTTTTTTTAATCCAAAGAAGTAAATTTAACATTTGAAAATTCCGACAAAGATAACTGAGCCTTTCCGTTTTTTCTATTTCTGTCAAAACTTCGCAAATGTTTTTGGAGAAATGAGAGTTGAACTTTGTAAGTATTTAATTTTGATTTTTGGAAAAAAAAGTATTGTTAAAAAATCCTGATTTTTTTCTAGATTTTTCAAAAATCAAAATTAAATACTTGCAAAGTTCAACTCTCACTTCTCCAAAAACACTTGCGAAGTTTTGAGTTGCAGGTTAATCAATTTATTGGATATAGCAGTTTCTATAAATAAATTATACCTTTCATTATGCAAGAATGCA